AGAAGGAGAAGGAGAAGGAGAAAAAGAGAAAGAAGAGCCAGCAGAAGACGCGGAAGACACCAGCAAGCAGGAGGAGGAAAGCAAAGCGGAGCAAGAAGAAAGAAACGAGCCGAGTACAGGCGATTCTGGAGTCGATGATCCAGGGAACGACGAAGATCAGGTATAGTCATCCTAAACTCCTTAAACGAGTCGAATATTTCAGGAATTCTCTAGCACAAAAGCACAAATATGTATTTATAACGAGCCTTACCTTACATCGTCAAACGAGAAATATAAAAATAAGCAACGTTATAATGTGATCGTACAATTAATATCGATGTAAGCGAAGATATATAAAGAGTGAAAAACGCACTGAAAGTTAGATTGGTAGATTCTAGCTTTTGTTTATTCTCTCTTTTAGTCAGCCAGCTTATAGATATAACGAGCAATTCATGCTTGCTGTTGTGAGAGGATGTGTAATACTAGAATTAATTAATTATAAACGCACAAATATATACCAATAAATAAAACAACTGAGCAAGGAATTTCTGTTATGTGACTTTTGCACGCTACAGACCCAGACACAAACATGCGGATATATTTTCTCCTTTTTATTTCTAATTTTATTTCGTAGTATACGATGTTTTACTTCATTATTTCAATGTTTCGTTATTGTATTTCTTGCAAGAGCATTAGTCATACCAAAAGCAATAGTATGAAAATTGCCTCGGAACTTTCTATAATACAATTTTCTTTCACTAATTGCTTTTTCATTTCTACGAGTTTGAAGATGAACAAAATATACACGTTGACATTACATACATTCGTAAAAATTCAAATATTAAGCATCCAGTTCCTAGGGAATTAACTTTGGAAGATAACTCACAATCGAATCAAAAACTATGTCGAACAAATATTAATCCAATCATCTAATCTAGTCCACAAGACTATCTTTTATATAACAATTCACAGCTGATCAACTCAAAATCCTATTCGGAACAAATACAAACTTTGCTCGTCCTATTACCATTCGAAATGAACTTATACCAAAAACACCCACGAACGGACAAAGTAACTTAATTTATTCGATAGTTGGTTCACGTTTCGCACAGACAGTGAAAGTGTACCGTATGCACGACGAAACGAAAAAAAAAACGAGAAAATAGAAAACGATCGATTTAACATACGTAGATTGCGAGATGCGATTAATATTTTCCTGTATCGATCGGCACGAGTCGTTCGTGCGCATGGTTTTGCACCTGGAAATGATTAGCAGGTGATCGTCGGCGAACACGAGGAGCTTCCGGAGGCAGAACTAAACGAGGGCAGCATGACAGCGGACCCGGAAATCGAAAAGCTAGTGGAGAACGGTAACATGGAGCAATTGGCCTCGTTAGTGCTGAATGGCGAGGGTAGAAGACTGGTCGGCCGACATTCGAAGAATCCAGAGTTGCAGGCATTCATCGATCGTGTCCCTTCGTACATGGTATTGCGTATAAGAGTTTCTAAGTTCATTTCTTTTCTCGATTCGTTTCTTTTACGAATGTAAAAATCTTCGTCTTACTAGACGTCAGATTGATCACGTTAAGTCGATCTTGTGCGAGATGATTTTAATCGGCTTGTGTTAATTGATATTAATCAGACAACGTGCTTGATAACGTTGTCGTTGTGATTTCGATTCAACTTCATTTCATTCGTCGAGTCAGACAATGTGATGTGATAAACATTGGCGATTTTCTAGAATTACTGACAATCGATATTATCAAATGTTGCGAACTCGATTAGACGTTTAATGATCAATCGTTTCAGGGGAAAATTCATGCCGTGCACATGGCAGCGCGGGAAGGGAATCTGAGAGATCTGCAGAGTGCCTTGGATCGTCGCAAATTCGCGGTTGCGAGGGATGGATCATCGCCACACGGTGCGACGCCTCTTCACGTTGCTGTTATATTTGGAAACACCACTATTATCCGGTAGAAGTTTTACATATTCTTAATACATAATTAATTAACTTCCGAGTGTGATTTCATTTCTAAACCCTGAATAACCTACTTTTTCATTCTTTATCAGCGCGTTTATCTTTCTAAAATTTAGCAACTTTGTTACACGTTAAACTGACAACGACACGCACCAATTGCGAATACAGTGGGAATTAAAATTAAAATCCCGTGACGTTGCAATCAACTTTTATTTATCGATTGTTCTCCCCTTCGCGTTCTCTTTAGATATCTAGCAGGCAGATTTCCAGAAACTACACATGCAATCGATCTCGATGGGCGAACTCCTCTACACTATGCGGCCACCCTCGCAGACAATGGCCATTATTACAACCTTTTACTTCATTTGGGTGCCAATCCTTTAGTCCAAGACAACGTGAGTGCATTCTCTATTAATAAAAACTGATGGGAACGAGATTAAGATTAGAATCGAATATATACATATATATATATATATATATGCGCGTGTGTGTGTAATTTTGTTGTCCGCACAGTTTGGTGAAAAGGCGGAGTATTACAAGCAAGATGAATCCGAATTCTCCCACAAATCACTGCTCCGTGATTTCGGAGCTAACGAGAAACTCGCCGACGAGATGTTGACGGACAAAGGTATTTCATTCGACCGAGGCATTTACAAGCACCATCGATCACTCCGAATTGTACTACGATCGTTCAGAGCACTATACGTTTATACTCTTGAAACGTAGAAGTACGATCTAACATGTTCTCAATGGTAGACCGATTTACAGTAGTTACGTTGCTTTCTCGCACGTGTTAGTTTTAGCATCGACTATCGAAATTGCCACAATCTTTCTAATACAAGACAATCTATCTTTTCAATGCAACAAACTAAAAAGATATTTGCTCCACAAGAGCAGAGAATTAATTAACCTAATTAATTTGAAATCAAAGGCATACATATAGAGATAAATAAATGATGTGAAAGATGTTAAACGAATTAATTAGCGATGGGAACTCTCGATAAGATAATTTGAAATTCGATATATGAAATTTGACGTATGAAAGAGTTTCTTTCTAAATCGTAATGCAATGTAACGTATTCTTCCCATCGCTGTTAATGCTCTCCTGATTAATCTATCCGCGGCTGTTCACGTTTCTCTCCACTTGTTCCACCCTGGACGTCTTCACGCTGATGTGCTTGCTCGAGGCAAATAGTTCCCGGAGGCGACACGTATTCCGCGCGCCGAGACATTACCGAACCAGAGACCCTAGCTACCTTGGAGAGATGTTTCCGTCTTCTGATCGGCGTAAGACACGGTATGACACCAAAATCAGCTGGGAGCTCCGCTACACTGATTGGCCGTTGCCTGAAACGACCAATATTCGATCGTATCAAGCACCGTGTGACACGCATGGACCACAATCTCTTTGATGTGATTTGGCCGGCTTTAAAGAAATACGGTAACTCGACTTACACCAGCAGCAAGCCGGGCAGCGCTTACTCGATGGTCAGCAACGTGGACGAGGACGAGTCTCTGTCGATAGTGGCGCCCGACTACGAAAGTTACATCGTGTTCGCCGACTTCTTCGATCCTTTAATCAGGGACATTCATTGCGTAACTGCCAGCGGTGATCTTCCCGATCACCCGCCGCCGAGATTCTTCTACAACGAAGAGGACGAAGACGGCGAGGAAAATCCTGACGCGTTGGACGAAGTGACCGTGTCAGCGATCGAGGCGTACGACCTCGACCCTCCAGCCAAATACGTTCAAGCCGCTGTGACAGAGTGTTGCAGAAACCTTGAGAACTACACGTTCCCGTTGACACTTACGGTGAACCAGTTGGAAGAAGTGGAACGAGAGATCACCAGCGAATTGATGAGCCAAGACATCTCAGGGATAATGGCGGAGGGTAGCAGCGAAGACGAGCCTGGGACTTACTTCACTCTCAATGAAATTCTGGATCAACCGAGTCCGATCAGGGCTCAGTTGGCAGCATCTGGTTTACTACTGCCAATTACAGAGTTCGACGTGCACGACGAGAAACGTCTTCATGGCAAGCACTGGCCGTACGGCCGAGGAGTTTACGTGGCCTCTGCCGGCGACCTGGCTGCTTGGGTGAACGTCCAGGATCACCTGAGAGTCGTTTGTCGAACCAGCGACAACAGGCCAGGTCTGATCGGTCGTGCCTACGTAAGACTGGCGAAGGTGATGGTGCTGCTCGACGAAAGGCTGAAATTCAAGAGAGAGAAGAAGCTGGGCTTCCTTACCGCACGACCCTGCGCCATTGGCAATACTCTCAGGTTCAACGTGATAATCAAATTCCCCGAACTGTCCAAGGAGTTCGATCATTTGAAGCATCTGTGTGTGGTTCGCGGCTTGAGTATACGCGAAACGGCGAAGCAAGATACTGTCCGAGTCGGTAATCAGCAGTCACTCAGTATTACCGAACTGCAGACACTTCAAGATTTCTCCAGGGCTGTTTTGAACGTTCTGGCGTTGGAGAAGGAACTGTCGATAAATACTTCGATGAAAATTGCCACCTTGATCGCGGGGATTTTCCGCAGGCGGAACAGCGCCAAACGTTTCCAGAACTAACAATCGCGAAGACGCAACTGTGGCGACTAACGAAATATAATACTTTGTCTTCTTTCATTGTACATTTCTCCGAAAACTTTTTTTCTTTTTTTTTTTTTGCTTTCTAATTGCCTTTTCTTCTTCTTTTCTTAACGATGGAATAATACGCTTATACATATGAAATCCATCTGTGATAACTGATAAGCCAATACGTTCGACTGTCAATTAACTCGCATAGACTGAACTATAAGCAGCGATCATTAGCATGTGTCAAGAGTGAAAGAAAGAGAAAGAAACGTTGGAAAGACGTGTGTGAACGTTATTCTATTTCTCGTGCATCAAATTACTATAATTAAACGGAAATGAAAGATCAGCTACTCGGAGGGATGCTGGATCGTTCATTAGGTTAGTAAAACGAACGTTATTGGTACATGGACAATTGTTACGACGCTTTGATATATCGTCGCACGACACCATGCTTACGTACCTACGTGAAATGTGTATATGTATCTAAAAAAAAAAAAAAAAAAAAAAAAAGAAAACGGAAAATTATTGGTTACAGAGATTTTTACATTGTACAAGACCAAAGAGAGATTGAGAGCCAACAAAATAATCAAAAAATTCAAGAGCTTATTTATGTGTATGCACGAGTTCGATGTTCACACGAAACAGAAAATGGCGTAGCACATGTCTTTCCAACTCGATGTATTCAACTTATGACGAACTGTCGTATTTTTACGAATGGCTATCTCTATGTAAATGATTATACATAAACGAAAATCCTCACTCTTCGCTTTTATCAATGTGATTTTTATTGTAATAAAATCCTCGTACTCATTTATATATATATCTGCTTCTGCATATCGAAATACATACATATAATTGACCGTGCTTTTGTTTGTACGTACGACACGATTTTCAAAATGGAGCAACGCACTCTATGTACGCACTGTACACTTTTCGTGTTTTGTGAAACATTTGCTTCTCTATTAGTATTACGTAAGGCAAGCAAAAAGAAATAAAGTGTTACAAACGTATCGCGATGCAAATGATTCGGGATAATAATTTCAATGATCATTATATTTTATAAAGTGAAACGAGTGCGATACGTTTCTTGCATTTTATATAGCTTTAGTCGATGAAAAAGTCAAAATATATTTCGCGTTTCAGACGACAGCCAGATTGATATACCGATATTTCGTGAAGAAGAGGGTCGCTACTTGGCATCGTGTGAGTTGATGTTCAATGAACGAGCGTGAAATTTCGTTGGCCCGATTCAAATAGAAAATAATTTGAAAGTTAACGCAATATGTTTCTACAGCACTCGGCGATCCATTGATTAGAGGTTTGACAGAAGTAGCCAATACTCGTCCAAAGGATCCAGTTACTTATCTGGCTACTTATTTATATAACTTTGCCAATAAGAGCAAAACCAACGAAGAGCAGGTGAACCGAATCGTATGTAAATATAGGATTTACATTGATGAACGTAAATAATTCGAATAACGTTTTAGGAACCTAACGTACTGATCATTCCTGATCGCCCCGAGGAGAACATAGAAAATATCGAGAATGAAAACGGAGACGAGGATGCTGGTTATCCACGATCTCCAATTTCCGATGTGCCAGAATCAGCTTTCAGCAATCCTAACCGAGTACGCCGATCGTTAACTTACTTTATAACTTAACGAACGATTCGTTCGATTTGCAACTGGCTTTTGAAGGTCAATGATTTTTTTTAAAAAATTTCCTCCCTCCAGGACGAACATGGCCAGAGCGTTATTCATTTCGCTGCCATTCGATCTTACCCGAAAGACGGTTTGTTCCATCTGCTTCAAGAAAGCCAAGTCAACGTTGGTTTCAGAGACGAATTATATAGAACAGCTAGGGACGTGGCCGAATTGGCAAATATTAGAGAGAATATCGACGAAATCGATCGATACGTAGCTTATTTGGCAGCACGAGGTGAACACTTGTCGTTCTAGTTGACGAGAAATTTCGAATAAAAATGAATTCACTGGAGAGACTTTGCTTTCCGTGTCTTTCAGGTGAAACTGAGAAATTGGTAGAACTATTATTGGAAGGATACGATCATATTTTGGACGTAGAAGACGAAGGCGCGAACATCGTGGACATCGCTGCGGAACGAGGAAAAGAGGCAACCGTACAATTTCTTCAATCTATTCCAAATTATGTGGTAAAACGAAACAGATGATTTTACGTGGTATTCGTATAAAAATACTCATCTAGAAAAGTAGTGCATGGAATAAACGTTGCTCCCCACTAGACACAACGTGAAGAAGTGCACCACGAAATCAGAACAGGCAATGTAGCGAAAGTGAAGGAATTGTTGAATAAAAACAACGGCGGAGGAAAGTTGTTGGCAATGGGAAAGAATTCGATGAGCAGATGCGCCCTTCACATTGCTGTGCTTCGTGAAAACGAAGAGATGGTTCGGTACATTGCGAAAACGTATCCAGAAACTTTACGTATAGGTGACAATGTACGAGTTCATTTAACGATTAACTTTATTTATTCAAGAAAGTTCGCGAGACGAGACAATGAATTCCCGACGTTCTGTTTCAGTTGGAGAGAATTGCTTTACATTATGCAATGGGTTTACCATCTGTCGAAGAATTGAGCAACATACTTATCAAAGCGGGTGCAAAACGAATAGTCAAAGATTTAGTAAGGAATCTCTGCCTCCATTCCAACAAACGTAATGAAAAATAATTTCTGCAGATAGTCGTGATTTTTTTATTGAATTTTCAGAAATCGCGGCAACCATCCTACTACTTCATGAACAAATCAGATATAGAGAGACTTCAAGAAGAAGAGGAAAGTCTGATCAAGTAGATTCATTGGACCTCTGAATACTCGAGAAATACTCGAATACTCATTGAGAAAAAGTATGCATTTAGCAGGAACGAAGGGCGATTATGCATCCATGTGTATTGGAACTGTCTGTGAAATCTGTTCTTTTTCTCAAAGTATGCCTCCGACTTAACAAATAGAAAGCAGAGTCTCTTGATTCTGTGTAAGAGTTACGATTATGAATGTAACGAATCTACGTCGTGTAATATACGGTAAAATATCCATACTATTAATGATACAAATAACAAGAATATTCAGTTTTTTTC